AATGCTTTAATTAGAAACATCCACATTGTCTGGATAAAATCGACGTTGTTCAAAGTAGCCGTAAAGACATGGAAAAAAATAGTACTGCGTTGTTGGTACGCGTACCTGCTAGGTAGATTATACATAGAACACGCAGGTTTTGACATTATCGCGATCGCTACGAGTCCTAAGGGACCTGTCTTGATTTCAAAATCGTCTTCTTTTTTGTATACGCATCGAGCGGATCTAGATAGGTTGTACGCTGACTCATTAATATTTTATGATGAACTTAATTGACGCGATATCAACTAGGGACCTTGCGGAAAGTCATCGAACGGCAGCGGTGTGTCCGCTCTCAGGGAAATAACGAATGCAAGAAATCAATTGTGCTAGCCGAGATAGTCCTCGGTCTCTTTCCGCAAGGTGAGAGAGCGTGCGCGCGAGCTCACGTAGCTTCTATGTTAAACTAAGAGCCAGGTAGCTCGAATCTGATAAGATCGTTCGCGTGAGTCTACTGGGGAGTAGTTTGCCCCAAATGGCTAGTCCCATTTCCCTCTTTTATAAGTAGACACCGTTTCGACGTGTGTTTCATCGTTACTTGCGACTACGTTACGCCCTTTTCTTTTTCATCCTTCCTGTCTTTCCGCATTACAGGTTGCGTTTTCGTCACCCCTAAAGCTTTAGCGTACGTACAATAGAAAGCCATGATACGCCATGTGAGATAGCTCTTTCATTTCCTCATATCTTATGTTACCTTTAATATCTCACACGCTTATCTTGGTTCTTCTCTCCAACTGATAAAGCCGATAAGAAGGTACATTCATGATAATCGACTCTAAAGTTTGAATGTTCTCACGCATGCGTCGCTCAAGCTTCTCAAGTTCTACAACAATTTCAATTTTTATCTCATTACTAACTCGCGCTAAATTCGAAGAAAAGAGAAAAACATAATAACTATAATTCTTCCTAAAACATTGTGTACATTTGTTAAATCAAAAACTAGAATTCCAATAAGACGAGAGAATTCGAAAGAGACGATAGCAACTACCAACTGGTTTATTAACGCCAAACCGAGTAGAAAAAGCAGTGGGGTGGGAGCGAGGCCGAGGGGGGATTTGGGCTGAAAAAATCTGCCTATTCCTTCGGATTCCGAGTTGTTCGGGGTGTCCTTTTTCCCCTTTCTCTACGGAGGGCCGCGAAGAGGCACTTTTCGGGGCCGTGCGAATCCCAGCGAACAAGGGAGCGAGTGAGTAAGCAGGAAAAAGAGAGAAAGAGAAAGAGGGAAAGAGCTATATAGAGAGCTGGCAAGCTGAAATCCTGACGTCCTGACGTGGCAGTGCAAGAGATCGAGCGCGAGATCGGGCTTATGAGTGCCCGCCGCGTTTCCACTTACACTTCCGCGCTTGGACGCGCTCAGCTAAGCTCAGCACATTGCTGTATGCCTAGCGGCTTTACCCTCGACAATGTTTTCATATTGTGCCGCGCGCCTGTTTATGGGCACGAGCCGCCTACTTGGCCAGCATTTTGTTCGCTTTTCTCCGCTTCTTCACTCTTCTCGTCTCTTTTCTCTCTTCTTGGCCTGACTCCTGCACCATCCGTTTCTGCAATCTCTCCTTCCCTCTCTCTCTCTTTCTCTTCGTATCTTTCTTTTTTTCCCAATATCTCACTAGCTTTCTCTCTCTCTCTCTCTCTCTCTTTCTCTCGTTGCAGCAAGAATCAACGTGTCTCTTGGTTTTCAGCTTTACCTTCTTGTTCTCTTACGAGAACGAGCTTAAAAGCGCTGAAGGACTCGCGGGACTTGCCTCACCGCCTCATCGCTGAAGAACTTGAAAGGAACCTCCAAGAGAGATACTCGACTCGGCTCGAGTGCTTCCCTCGGCTTACCGTTTGTCTCCGCTTCTCTCTCTCTCTTTCTTTCTCGTTCTCGTTCTCGTTCTCGTTCTCGTTCTCGTTCTCTGTTCTTTAACCTGCTCTTCCTCTCCTTCTTCCTGGTATATTTTTCTTTTTTTTTTCGAACCTACCCGAATCCAGACCCGAGTCTCAACATCGTACAGCTCTTCGCGTTCGTACCTGTTCGCACGAGGACGACTTTGGTGTGCTGGTTCAAGTGCGTCGATGGCGCCCGTTTATTTCCTCTAAATGCGATTCGGCTCACCCGTTTCGTTCTTTTCTTTTTCTTTCTTTTTTCTCTCTTTCTTTTTTTTCTTGCATTTCTTTTTCTCTCTTTTCTTTCTTTTTTACTTCTTATACTGTGTGCACACCTTCGCGTTTCGCGAAAAAAAGAAGCGACGCCGAGTTGCTTGGAAGAAGTGTGACATGTCAACGCTTAGAAAAAACCTTTCGGCTGTTTTATTTTTCTTTTTCTTTCTTGTTTTTTTTTCTCTCTTTTACTTCCTTACTTTCCTTTCTAGTTATCTCCAAATATGGTTGTCAAGTAAATAAGATTTACTAGTATTTCTTCTTAATTGCTGTATCTTTTTAAATTGTAAAATTCAATTTATTCATGTCAAATAATACATCCTTAATATTTTATATTATAAACGATTTATATCTTTCAAATAACAATAAATAATTATAGAAAAAAACAAATATGTATGTATCAAAATGGGTAAGACATATGTAGTTCATACGCGTTAAAGTCCTAAGCATTGATTCAAAATATCGACTATCATCATTATTATTATATCTTAAAAAAGTAGGTGTGTTTGTAACATCCACGTAAGACAGAAAGGTACCTTATGTCGTGCCTGGGGATACCATATGGCAATTAAGCTGGAGGGAGATAAGAGACACGGAGCAAATATTTGCAGGGTGACGCCTTTACTTGAGCGCTAGTAGATAGGACTCTTTTCGTGTTATCGACGTTTTCAAATATTGTAATCGTGATAGTTAGTATAATTGATGTGAAATAACGTCGATATTATTGTTAGAAGAAGAATCTCATTTTTATTTATCCCATCAAAACGAAAACGATTATTTAATATTACTTTTGCCTCATTAAAACAAGTATAAACAAAAAAAAAGCAAGAAAAATGTAGAGAAAAGCTATGAGCTTATAGAGAGTCTCGACCCCGAAAAATACTTTTTTTGTAGCCGATATAATGCCGTAGTTTATAAACTACGTACACACGTTTATTTGTTGTACTTAAAAAAACTGTATAATAGTGTAATTGTAGTATATGTTATTTTGTTCGTAAACGTTATTGCACCATCATAATTCATAAGAAAATAGTTAAATCACTTTATGACCAATTTCGTTTATAGTTATTTCCTTTATAAAAGATCGATAAAAAAAGAGAAGTTTTTCTGAAATATCCTAGGATCTAGTTAAAAGAAAAAAAGCAATTGAATTTCTATATTTATATTGTCTTTAAGAGATTTAAGGGCGGGGGGAACGATCGATTTAATTAATGACTCTCTCAGAAAAGTTCCCCCCTTTTTTCTAACGAACTTCTTTGAACAAACCCTTCCACGATTTCATCTTTTTTTTCTACTGCATTATATATATATATATTATATTCCTTCTATTTTACATTACGTATATTTCATATTCTTTCTATAAGCTACATACCTTGAGAAGAAAAGACGAACGTCCGTTAAAAAGTTCATGGCGGTCAACGAACAGCGGACAAGCCAAAAGTAAAAGAGTCGAGGTGCTTAACTTTAAGCCGGCGCTAATGAGATTGAAACACAATGAAAATGTCGTATAACGAGTGGAAGAAGCTTTTGGTCGTTGAATCACAGTCCAGCTACTTTCCAAAATCTCTGAAAAGCTCCTCGACCGGTCGAAGTGCTGCTGTTAGACGCTCGCTCACAACGTTCAACATTTTTCCGAGAAATTTTTAATCAAACGAAAAAGATCTCTCGTCTTTCCGTCGATTATATGCACTACCCAAGAGGATATAAAATGAGCGAACTTATTATTATACAATCGCAATAATCCAAGTCACGAGAATTTCTTTCTTCTTATCTTCTTAAAAGCTAATAATTAAAATATTTATTTCATCTCATTATTAATTACTCATATATACGTCCTTTAATACAATATTAACGATATATCTTATTTCTAGGAGGCGTAATAGGAATCTAACATATAAGATAAATTATATTTAAACACAAAAACAAAAAAATGATAAAACAAAGAAATGTAATGTATTCGATCGACGTGTTTCGTTTAATTCAAATCCTTTTTTTTTACGACCTCGAAACGGAAATAAGTATTACGTCGTGAAAATCGCGTTGTCGTTAACATACGTTGTATTTTCGTTGTATTTAGATTAAGAGATATATATCGCATATTGTGTACATACGTATATGTATGGTAAATACATAAGCATAGGTAGTTGTAGATGAAGGAAATCGTCAACGAAAGCTATGATTTCGAATCTACCATATGGTAAGGTTCTACGTTGAGCTTATCAAGAGATAAGTCGATGCAATTAAAGCGACGCTCTTTCTCTCTCTTTCTCCTTCTCTTTCTCATACACATAAACACACATGCACACGCACATAAACACACATCGAATGTCTACCTGTCTTTCGCACGTAGGCAACATATCGAGCTCATTGGGATTTTTAGTCCGTGTGGCGGCTCACTATATAGCACCTAAGTCTTTTTATCGGACGAAGGTATGCCTTTTAACGAGCGTACGGTAAACCGAGATAGGAGATAGCGGATTTGAATGCTCACCGTAGCATAACTATAGTTAGGGCGAATGACGAGAAACGTTGGGAAGAGTTACGTGATTCGAGAAAATCCGGCGAATTTTTTCTAGCGATAAATCTGTCTGCTTCATACTCTTTTTCTTTACTTTTTCTTTTCTTTTTTTTTTGCATGTTTCTTTTGTCTTTTTACCTTTTTACTTTCTTCATTTCCCACTTCTTGCGAGGAAAGACACGAGTACATATTTATTTTTTTTACGTACAAAAATTCATATCAATATGATTCATGTCAGTTATTTATCGATTGTCCTTTCATACAATTTTCCATTGAAGGGTCGATATTACTTGTTAACCAATTATTTTAATGTGCAGATCAAAAATATTTATTTATTATTTTTCAGTTTATACACTCCTATAGTTATTTCCATTTCATTATTGCCAAAAAGAATTTAATTTTACATGTTAATCATACTGTAACTTAATATTATTTCAATAATTGTCTTTATATATGTAACTATATAAAAAAGGAGTATTTTCCTTTTTGACTGTCAATCATGATTGAACGATTAGGAGATAAAAAGTTGATTAATAAGATTTTCCTTTCTTGCCCAAAATCTTTTCTCTCTGCGCCATTAGTTCTTCAGAGGTGATAATAACTTGACATCTATGCGCATATGCATTGCACCTCATGTTTTGGCAGCACTCACGATCATATTCGCACTGTAAACAATGAAATATTAATTTAAACAATTATGATTATTACTAAAATATGTAAAAAGAATTAGGGTCATTTTGAAATATATTACTTTCTTACTTGTGATCTTCAACTTTTAGTGATACATTACAATTACAACAATAATTTATTTCGATAAAATTTATATTCGTTTCATAAGTAAAAAATCTATTTTTTTATTGTCATTTACAAGAAAGAAAGAAAGAATAAAATGTTTTTCTTATCATCGTTTTTATGATATACGTCTATTTGACGTATAACAATAGAATCGAATTTCATTTCCGTACCGACAAAATAATTCAACGAACATTTACATAACAGAAGGACAATATACGATTATCATCAAATACAAAAGTCCAAACCTTATTAAAACATACGAATGTGGTTAGTTCTCACGATTAGCATTTCTAATTTGTGACTTGGCTTTGAGTACACATAGCACGTATATATATATATATATAGTGAAATGTCGATAATACGAGTAAAATGATCAACAAAAGAACAATCTATTTCAATTAATAATCAATTGTATGTTATTTCAGTTGAAACGTTTCTCTCTTCATATAAACATAGAGAAATACAAATTTAAGGGCATTCCATGAAAAAAATGTTGATATATTAAATGTATGATTTCAAAGAAACGAGAAAGCAACGTAAGATTAAAGAGAAAGAGGGATATCACGGGAAACGATCACATAGCAAGAAAACAAGCAGTATATAAATGTCTACTGACGGGGTCACCGTGTCGACCGCAGACTGCTTTATCGCGAGTAGCTACGATAAGTGTGCTGGCAAGAAGAGTTACGAAAACCAAGAGGATGAACTTCGACATCTTTGCTGTTTCCTAGGAATTCTGTAACAAAAACATCGGCATTCGTAAATAAAAAATAATTAATAACTGAAAATTCACTTTTTAATATAATTATTATTATGTAATGTTATTTATTTCACTAATGAAATAATCATAATATTGTTTAGGTATTTTTTACATTAATTTTTTTACGAGAAATTTTATTCAAGGTTTCAAAAAGATCAAAAGAAATATTCATTGGAAACACCGAACAGTCAGGTGTGCACGCACGTATAGATACACACTTCTATATAAAAGGAAAATACATAAGATCCATATTAACGAATATAAAAGTGTGTAAGTAAATGAATCATTACCGGTCGAGCTAACTCGTTCTTGAATAAAGGATCCAATGACTAAAGACTATATATTCACGGTCGACCGTGTATAGCATTTAATCCACTTTAAAATGGTTATTCCTCGTTACGTAGCCATTGGAATAAGCAAAGGCGATTGTTCGAATATGTATATGTGCGAGTATGTAAAGAGAAAGTATGTCACTACGGCATCTCGATTCTTTCAACAAAATATAACGCGAAAGATTTAATTTTAATAAAAATCTCCAATTCTATTTAACAAAACATTTGATTAAAATATGTAACTAAAATCGTTTCAATACGCGAAATTAATGAGACAGTTTAATTTCTTTAACTTGATACTTACAAATGGCTTATGTTTCCTATAAAAAAGTATATGTAAACTACGCACTGATTCTATCACAGAGATGTCTTCTCGAGAGTTCGACCTCGACTACGTTCCTTCGTTCGTTCTGCTCATACTATATATATATATATACATACACAAGAGAAGTAGGAGAAACGACGACTTTACAAATTTTTAACTGCTTCCTTGAAACATATAAGACTTATCGTCTACAATATATACAAATGTGAGTCATTAATAAGCGAGTTTGAACTCGTGCGTCATTACAATTTCAAAATAACTATACTATCTTATTTCATTTATCGTTTATTCAGAAATTTTTTGAAGGATTCTTCTAATACAATTTTCACATTGTTACTTTCATTAGATTGTTATTCTATATAATATAATAATGTACAATATTTTTCATATAATGAAATTAGAAAATAGCGATTAGATTGTAGACCGTTATGTGTCGATCGCTATAGATTATCGTACTTGGATGAAAATTGTATTTTTCCTCGAGATTTTTATATCGACTGTAAATCTTCAGTTTCTGCACTAGTACGGTATGAAACAGGCAAGTGCCTTTTGCCTTTTGCACCGATATTCTATCGAGTGCATATTGCACGCTTCGTACATTCCATTGATCTCTCCACAAAGCCCTCTTGTTCTTTAATTCGCTTGACAGGAAATAACAAAGGAAGAAATCGAGTCATACACTGTTATTGCTCTTTTATTTCGTGACGATAATCGGAGAAAAGAGAGAGAAAGAGAGAGAGAAAAAGAGACAGAAAGAAAAAGAAAAAGAGAAAGAAAGAGAAAGAAATAACACTATCATTTTTATTTATCATCATGTATTATACTATATCATATTGTTATTGTGTTGCTATGATGAGTAAGCATTTATGTTTCAATGTCTTAACGGTTTTACTTAAAGCCATTAGTTTTTTGTCATATAAAAATATATCTAAAAGATCTGATAGGAGTAATATTCTAAATATCGATTGAAAATTCAGATATTTGAGTACAGGTAACCCTTCTATAACATGGTAGAAAGGTTCTTAAAAAATGCCGTGTTGTGTGAAATCGTGTTGTATGAGACCCAGAGCTAGCAGAATGAGACACTTTTGTTTTCAGACCATGGAGATGAAAAGAAATACTTTCCGCAACCCTCTATCTTTAAGACGGCAAGCCTCGCAGCGGGTGTAGGAATAAGGTGTTGTAGAAAAGTTTTTTGGAAAGGGAAACTGTGTTATAGGATGCCGTATTGTATGAGGATTCCCGCAATTTATGAATCGTCTTATAGTGAAACCGTGTTATAAGATGCTGTGTTGTAGGAGAGCTACATGTATTTACATACATATTCAAAGAAAATTGAATATAAGTTCGTACGATAATTTAGATATTTTATAATCTGTAACCATATATTTAACGATTATTAGATATTTTGCTTAAACACACTCTGATTTCAAAAGATACATTAATGATGTAGGAAAAATTGGTATTTAGTCATTTCATCTTCAGTTATATATATGTAAGAGTGCAAGTGTATGGTGTACATGGAAGTGGTTGATGAAAGATTTGTAGCGATATGGATACGAGTGCATGTAGCAAGAAAGAAAAGCGTACGATATCGGCTGATGTCATCCTTTGTAAACATCCCGAAATCTCTCGAATGTTCCCGAGCCGGAAATCGGGAAGAAGTCTTTTTGTGTGACCGATTGGGAATAGTCTGGAGATTTAGATGAATGATTAACGGAAGTGATCGGGACCATTGGTGGGGTGAATGCATATATAAGCGAATGAAGAGGGCGGTCCTCGGGGCCCTTCTTGATTCGGTGTGACGGGTGAGTGTTATACGAGTGTGGTTACGGTTTCTAACTCTGGTTACTTACTTTTCTTTCAGTCTTTATCTTAAACCTTAATACTTAAGTCTTTGTTATATTATAATAAACATTTCTTTTATTTCGATTCAATAAAATCTTATATATATATATATATTTGTCTGTCTGTCTGAAACCACCACCCCCACAATGAATAGAATCTTTCTCTACTTTAAAACTTTTTTATTTTCAAGTTTTTCATAACATAACACGACCACACTTGATGATTAATATATTATAAATATTAAAGAATCATAATGATACATTTAGTTCTCAGAAAATTAAGAAATAAGGTATGTTTTTATTATTGAACGATAAAATTTTATTGGGCTGGTGGGTATGGTGGTGGACCAATAGGTCTCGTATCTGACCCAGGAATTATCACTCCTTGTTTTGGAACGCACTTAGCTGCGTAAACCAGACAAATAAGGTTACGGCAGCAGTCTGAAGAAGTATGACACTGTAGATAAAAAATGCTGTTTAATGCACTCGTCCAAAATAATTAGATTTCTCTCTGCAATCTTTGTTTTAAAACAATGCTTATTTCATTTTTTAACAAAGATTGTGTCTGTAATGCACAAATATCACTATTAAAGCTTAATTATTATAGCAAACTTACGAGTCCAAGCCACGGGCTGCATTTAACAATTTGTTCTTCTTCATGCTTAGGTGCTGCAAGAACAATTGTAATAACCCCGAGGAAAGTAAGAAAAACGAATTTCTGCATGGTGATTAAAATTTTTTTTATTTCGAAAACTCCTGTAAAAATTTAAAATTACAATTGTGAGGTTTAAACAATGTGAACCATGCACACACGCGTGTTGGCAATAACACAATTTTTGTTTAAAACTACAAAATTAAATCTGATGTTGGAAAAAATAAATTGTTAATATACTTCTCGTTTTAAATGTAACAATAGCAAGACAAGCTAACCTGCTTCCTGAAGCACCAGTTACTTACTGATGTTGTTTAAGAATGTGATGACCTACTAACTTCCGAGTAACGGTATCTAATATTTATACGATTTCTCGGTGTAAATTGATAAAACGAACACGAAGTGGATAATCCACCTGTGCATATGTTTTTTTCCTGTTTAAAAACCGTAATTTATCTTTATAGATAAACATAATTACATATATATCATTAAAGAATGTGTCCTGACAAATAAAATGATATGTTAATAACAATTATCGTCTTATAACTTTGTTAATTGCTGACTCCTTATGTAGACCTCAAGGTAATGAACAGGATATTTATAAATATATGAAGTTAACTGAATGTGTTATTCATTATTAATTTATTTATTTTAATGCTCATTTATTATTCTCATAATGAATACATTCTAGAAAATAAACTTTTAAATAAACCGCATTTCTTGTCATTTTGTTTGATATGAGTGCGATGTAGAACATATATGTTATATATTAGTATTATTTCTACTAAACATAGTTATTGGTAAAACGAGAAATGAAAAAATAGAAATATTTATACGATGATAAAATTTGTACTTAATGCAAAGACGATACTTGTTCTTAAAATCGATTTGACGTGCTAATCGGAAACCTTGGATTTATCTAAAGAAATAAATATTTTATATTGGATTGTTGACGAAGTGTACGACGTGAATAGGTTAATTAAAAAAATTGAAGAAAAAAAGTTAATTTTAATGATGCATATGTATTTTTGAAGCAAAAAAAAGTCAAGTTACAGAAATCACCATATACGATGAATTAGGAAAAAGTGTACATTTTTGATCGTAGGCCTACGAGATAACGTAAATATGTCAAATATCTCATCTTAATCATTCACTGCCATCAGTACTAGCGCCTGGTGGTGGCCAGTTTCCACCTTTTGTGCAGCGACTAGCCCAAGGGTTGCATACGAATGGGGCACAGCATTGGCTATTATCGGTACACTGTAAAAAGTGAAACGAAAAGTTTATTAATAAAACAGCTGAAATCAAAGATGGTTGGATAACAGTAGCATATTATAGAATATTTTATAATTTCGTTAAATGATTAATTGACATTCTTATTTCTTTAATATATAACTTTTTATTACCATTTTATTTCATCAATAAAACGATACTTACAGGCATACCGGGCGGTGAACAAGCCATGACATATGTCAACGCCAAAAGAGTGAGGGCGAGAAACAATAAAAGCTTAGCCATTTTATTTTTTAGACGATTTTCTGTAAAAGAATTAAGAAGAAAAAGAAACTTAAAGAAAAATAATCAGAAAATTGAAATTGTTTTACATTAGATAAATAATTAGTATAAGTAATGTGTAACAATATATGCTATACTATATCTTACCTTTACGATTTTACTTGGAAGTATGTCAAAAGATTTCTGATTCCATTTAGCGTTAGAATGGCATATTTATAGGAAAGTGTATCCATGTAAACAATCTAACAATAAGATAAAATATTTTTTGTTTACTGATGCACAGCATTACTTGGAAATCTTTAAAAGAAAAAGAAAGAATCTTATTTTTCGTATTATTTTTTTTACAGTATTATCGTCCATATCAAGGTTCATCGATCGTAAAATATCATACACTTCATATAATCAACATTTTATATAAAGCTTTATAAACAGTGAGCTCATTTTCTCACGTAAATTACCCCCTGTTGCGTTTCACTCGCAATAATAACAAGACTAATCTTGAAATTCAATTCATCTTGATAATTTGATAAGATTTGCACGATGTTTATTCGTCGATGATCTGATTATTAAATAAAAAATGATTATGTTATTTCCAAAGATTACTTCTATTTTGTTTATAGGAAAAACAAATATTTCAGTTTTTAGTGGACATTATTTGGTATATATATATATATATAATATATTTAAAAAAGAAATAGAAATAATAATAAATCCAAAGAGATTATTGATCTGCAAATTTTTCCAGCTGTGCATGTATATATATATATATATATATATATATATATATATATATATATATATATATTCAAAACTTAAAATAAACGTGATTGCGAAGTAAATAGACGATATTTCGTACGATTTCTATCTAATTTATTATCAGGTAAATGGAATTAATTACGTTAATTCGAACGGACATTATTTTCTTTATATCTTAGGCAATTTCGATATAATCAATGTGATATATATGAGTTATAATAATTACATATATATGTAATTAATATGTAACTATTAGAAAATATATATATATATATTTTTTTTTTTCTAATAGTTAATTTCAATAAAAGAAAAGAGA